CTTATGGAATGTTGAGAGGAACCTCACATTCTATTGAGGTTCTGGGCCTGTTGATGGTAAAGAAATCCATTGATTTTGGTTGGATTTTTATATTTTTTTTCTGTGGAATGACTATACTGTTTGAAGAAAAGAATGGCATATTGGCTGATGTCAAAACTTGGGGGAATAGTTGATTGCCAATGAGGTAAAGATGAAAATATTGGAAAAAAGTGAAAAAACGCCTTATTTTTTGGCATTAAATTGAGCCAAAATCATGTAGAAATGTGTTTTTATGAATATTTTTTTCACTGAATGTTGTCACCACATGTGTTCTTTGCATCTGGAATGTATTTGTAGACAGCTTACCCAATCCACTGAGGATTTGAGGAAATTTTTCATTTTTCAAAATTTTCTATCACAAAATGAAGGTTACCTACACTAAAATGGCCACAGTTTTTTTTCGCGATATTTCCGGAAGAGCAGAGCCTCCAATTATTGGTCCTCAGGGTCACAGTTAACAAAAAAAAACACAAATAAAAAGTATGGCAGGCGATGTCAGGTTCAACCCATTTTCTAGAGCTTTTGAGACTTTGGCTCCCTGACTATACAAGACACTGACATAATACATGCATGCATGATGTAAAATGCATTTTAATAAAAGTAAATATATTACACTAATGTCAGATCAAAGGAATTCAAATCAGGACAAATGCAGCAAAATCTCTTAAAGAAGGGGACTGGGAAAATGTTTCAGCCTATACATTTATGTCTGTAGGCTAATTAGTGGCCTAAATAACGCAATAAAAGATGATTCACTCAGTCTTTATTATTGACATGTTTTCATGCATGTTGACACATAAAAACATATCCGAACACTTAATACTGATAGAAGCATTGATGTTTATTTAAACTCTGAGTTTTATCACACTGGACTGGGTCACCTGCAGTCACTCTCTCTGGAGCCTGTTCCATGTGTGCTCACAGGACCTGTGAGCAGGACACTCTGCTTCATAGCCGACTCTGGACGAGTGCTACAAAGTGGTCTTAGGGGAACTTGAGAAACACCTTATATGTGTACACTGCTAACCCCGAATCAAGCTAGCTACCTTCAAGGTCTATAGCTAAAAGGCCTATGAGCCTATGTTTTCATTTGTTATGCTAAAGTTCGTTGTGTTTATCCAATAGAGGCCCGTTGTACCCGGTTGGACCCCAATAGCGAGTTGAAACGCAAGCTGAAAGCCCAAGGACCTATATCACAACCTCTCTACAACAACCTTCCTTGATGGTCTGGTAGGAGCTGTTGCAGCCAGTCCACTCCCCACACTTAGACACCCTGTTTAAAACACACCTTTTTTTTTTGGAGTTTTGTACTCTTTATTTATTTATTCACATTTTTTACATTTACCTTAACAGGAGAGATGCTTGTACCAGGTTGTAGCACCAGTGCTAATTTCCACCTGTCGTCCCTGGGCAGATTCATTGATTGATTGTATTTAACTGACCTTGACTATCAACTGTTCTTCCTGGAGACCTGTGGAGCATGTTTTGGGTTGGTTTGGGCTTTATATCAATTGCTGCTACTCTTGTATTGTGTAACCTGAATTATCTATGTACATATTTTTACAAGTGCCCTTGGAAGTTGAAACTAATAGCCTAAAACTCAAGCTTGGTCATATTTTTTTCTGCAGATGTAAATATTGTAAATATTGTGTATATGTTGTTGGTTATTCCCTTTTTTCACTATCAATATACGGTTCCAGCCACTAAACTTAAATACCCAGTCTCTTGTGTAATTTTACTGGTCTCCCTTCTCTCAGAGAGCCGTGTCCTAATCTTCTGGTGTTAGCCCAGTCACCACATGTGACAAGGCCAAGGCCCGCGGGCCGCATTTTATATGGATTAAAAGGTATAATTTTTATTATGTTGCAATTCTGTGCAGCTACTACATTTCCCACAATGCGCCACGAAATGACTGCATCGTGCCACTAGAGTGGGGTGTTTCCCCTCTTGTGAGTCCCCAGCGTGTTCTGGCTGAGAAAACTCAACAAATCTCCCCGAAATGTCCAAGAAAAGAAAAGTGTATGTAGAAAGATGGTTATTTCATGAAAGATGGGAAAATGAATACATTTTTGTACTTCAAGGAGAAAAACCAGTATGTCTTTTATGTAACGAGACAATGTCCGTAATGAAGGAGTACATTTTAAATCGGCATTTTGACACAAAACATGGAACTAAGTATGCTGAATTTAGTCTCCAACAAAAACAATGAGCTGTCAAAGAATTAAAAAGAAAACTAAAATCGCAGCAGGATATGTTTTCAAGAGCTACAGCCAAGAACGATGCAGCGGTGAGAGCTTCATAGTGCCAGAGGAAATCGCTCGCGCTTCCAAATGCTTCTCTGAGGGTGCGTTTATAAAGCAGTGCATGCTGAAGGTGTGTGAGCAGGTATGTCCAGACCAGATACAGACTTTTAAAAATGTCAGTTTATCAAGAATCACCATTGCTGACCGAGTGAAAGAGCTAGCAGGGAATCTTACATCACAGATTATAAATGACGCACACAGTTTTCTGGCTTATTCATTAGCCACTAATGAAAGCACAGACAACACAGATACAGCACAGCTGTCCATTTTTGTACGAGGTGTAAAGGCAGATCTGTCTGTCACCGAGGAGCTGCTGGATATAGTTGCCATGCATGGGACAATAACAGGGAAGGAGATTTTTGAGGCGGTGGAGAAGTCCGTAACTAGCTGTAAATTACCATGGGAAAGACTGGTGGGGCTGACTACTGATGACGCTCCTGCAATGTGTGGTGAAAGACGAGGCTTGATTGGACTGGTAAAAGAGAAAATGCTACAAGAAAACTGTCCCACACCTCCGATAACCTATCATTGCATTATCCATCAAGAGGCTCTGTGTGGAAAGGTTCTGGAAATGGATGATATTATGGCCACTGTAATGAAAACAGTCAACTTTATCTGTGCGCGTGGCCTAAATCACCGCCAGTTTCAACACTTTTTACAAGAGATTGGTGCTAAAAATGGAGGTGTCTCATATCACACAGAAGTAAGGTGGCTCAGTCGAAGCGCTATCGTCCAGCGATTTTTTGACCTCAGAGAGCAAATTGCTCTTTTCATGCAAAGCAAAGGAAGAGTCTTGCACGAACTATCAGATCCAAAGTGGCTGTGCGATTTTGCCATGTTGTGTGATCTAACTAAGCATCTCACCCAACTGAATAAGAGACTGCCGGGATGCAAACAAGTCATCACGCAGATGTTCGACTCAATCTCAGTGTTCCAGCGGAAACTTCACCTCTGGAAGTCCCAACTAGAACAGGTTAATCTTGCCCACTTTCCTGTATGCAAGAGGATTTCAGCCTTATATTCAGTTTTTTCATGTGCTTGGTTGGCAACCAAAGTAACCCGATTAATTACTGAATTTGACCAACGCTTTTCTGACTTCAGAGTGCAGCAGCCAGAATCTGCCCTCTTTGCCAATTCCTTTAGTGCTGATGTTGACAGCACACGTCATCTTCAGATGGAGTTAAATGAGCTTCAGTGCGACAGTGGCCTGAGATCAAAGTTCCAGGATGTTGCACTCGAGGACTTTTACCGTCTGCTTCCCCCTGACATGATGCCACAGCTTTGACTTCATGCTGCCCATATTATGTCTATGTTTGGGAGCACCTATCTGTGTGAACACATGTTTTCTATCATGAATCTAAACAAGACCAAGCATAGATCACGCATCACTGATGACAACCTCCGTGCTGTTTTGAGGATTGCTACAGCACAAGACCTAAAACCAGATCTGGACATGCTGACCAAAGGGAAACAATGTTAGACATCCAGCCAGAAAACAAACAGGTGAGCATTTTGTGTTTTTAAATTAATATCTCTAGTTTAATGTTTGATTGTGTTGTGTTTTTATTTTCAGTTCATGATTACTGGACTGGACTTCAGAGGTGAGCAGCAATGATAATGTGACCAATATAGTGAGACTGACAATCTTTCTAAAAAAAATATATATATATAACAGTTTTTGAAGACTTCATGTTAGATTTGTTATGCAAGTTCTCAGTAGATCACCCTGAATGAGAAAGGTTCTGAGAGAAGTAAATTAAATACATTTGATAAGATTTGTTAATTTATTATTTGTTATCTGTTAAGTTTACTTAAAGTTTGGTCTGTTCCTGAAGGAGTAATGTGAATCTTAACTTTGTCAGTAGAGCAATACAAATAAATTCAATGTTATATAATATTTGAAACTTAAATAAATATTATGAAAAATCAATTACAGTCTCTCATTTGTAACATACCAATATTGCATATACAGAGTAGCTGTTACAGTCTTAAGTTTACAACCGGCCCATTGATAACAACCATGATCCAAATGTGGCCCTTGGTGAAAATGACTTTGACACCCCTGCCAGACACCAACCCAACCTCCCCCTTTCTCATTGCCATACACCACAGATATGCTACACTTACAGTCAATAGTCAAGCAACAAAAATGTGGTCAAGTTCCCCAACAGCTGATCTATTTTGAAGGTGTGATTGAGGGGTGACAATAGTACAAAGCATACTATGCAAATTTAAACTGACAAAAAAAAAAATATATTTTGTTATTTGTTTTTTTATTTGCAATGAAAACAGACAAAAAAGCACTCATCCTCCTGTTTTCATGGAAATGTCTGTCTTCCACAGTATGGCATAAAACTTCTCTATCTCCATGGAAAATTTTCTGAATTGTGGTTTTAACATTCTGTATCAATAGAGTCAATCATGCAGATGACATGCCACCTCCAGAAAGTTACATGTTGAACATAATAGTGCATTTACTCACTCCTTTGTGAAAAGGAACATCTACGTCCACTTTGATCATGAAAAATAAAATTACTAAAATAATTACATTTGTGATTTCATTAACAATCATTGTCTAATCAAGGTTATAATTAATCATTCCCAGCTACACAGATTGATATTTCATTGTTTCATAGTTTTGCTTTTTTTTTTTAAAAAAAAACATTAACTTTTGACTAAAGGTTTTTTATTTTTTTACATGAAGTGTGTCCATGGTCTCTGCAAGAGAGTCAGCCTTACGAGCTTGTTTACGGACAAAGGCCAGTCCGTTAGTAATAATGTGCTTAAGAGCAATGAGGAGGAGAGTGTCGATGTTGTCAACATGGTCTGTTTCTTCACTGTAGTTCTTCACACCCATGATGTTGTTCAGAGGAATCCCCACAGCTTTACTGAACTCTTCCATCTGCAGTGACAAAAGACATACTTTTATAAACTCCTCTTAGGGCGTTCACCCAAACGGCTTCAATATTGGTACACATTATCTCAAGGGGGGGCATCAAAAGTTATCAATATTTAGGGGTAGAACAAAAGGGAAAAAAACAAAACGTTTTTCAAAACTTTCTGAAATTTTGCACAAAATTCAGTTTTGGCATCCTGATCACAAAAGTCAATGACACCCATGCCATAAATCATCCAAACTTTAGTCATGGGTGCACGCACCGATCCTGAACAGATTGATATAAGAAATTTTTACAATGGGTGCAATAGCGCCCACTAGGCAATTTGTATGGAATGATAATGCTTTTTTTGTTGTTGTTGGTTAAATTAAAAAAGTACTAATGCTGTGAAGTCAGACGGTTTCCACGAAGTGAAACTGGCTGACGAATCAGGCTAGGGTTAGGTTAGGGGTTAGGGTCAGGTTAAGGGCAGGTTTTTCTTTTCCTAACCAACTCACCCATTTTTCACACAGTGAACAATGGTGAAAACTCACAAAACTTGGCTAACTATTAAAACTCATGCTTCTCTGCATTGTGGCTATTGCCATTTTCCGAAAATAAATAAAATGTCCCTCCAACGCCCCCAAACAAAAAGAATTGCATTAGAGTAATGGAAAAACACACAGAAATTGCACGTAGAATGATGAAATTTGAAGCAGATCATGACAAGACAAGTTGCTCCACCAGGGGTCAGCAATATTATATTAAACTGTGCAAAGCATTTTCTGTAAACGTCGTACTTTCACAAACTCCTCATAAGGCAGTCGCCTGAACTCATATTTGGTACACATCATCTCAAGGGTGGGGCATCAAAGTTTATCCACATTTTTGACACAGGTCCCCCAATTTACACCAAAGCAGTAACAGAGTTTAAGTGCAGCAGCACAGCACACGCACAGGTATCACTTTCTATTGTAACCGGTTGGACAATTTACACCAACAGTGTCATACGAGCGTCCAGTGGCTGTCATTACACTATGTGCCGCTCAAATTAGGTTGGACTTCAAATTTTTCAGTCTCAACAGAGCATCTCCAGGCTTTTTAACAGGGGAAAGAAAGAAAATTAAGCACATGGTGTCAAAATAAACTTCTGATGTCCTTTCAAAATACATTCTCTAAACCACTTACAGTCGCGTAAACACCGTGCGTCGCATCAGAAGCTCGGAGAATGACTTGTTATGGGCTACGGAAAGTTTACAGCCGTGGCAGACAAATATAAAACACTTTAGGACATCAGACAGCAACTTTACAAGAACAACTTCTGAGGGAAAAGATGCATGGTGCAGACAATAAAAAATGAAATGGTGAGTAGCTTCATTAATGCGAGCACCGCAGATATGGCTTGTAATCACTGCAAAGCATTGTCCCTCTCATGGCCGCAAGAAGCGGTGGTGCTAGTGGTGAAAGGAAGATAAAAAAATATATAATAATAATGATAATTAAATACATTTGCCCAATTTATGCAATCTTTATGAATATTTTGGGAAGTGATTTTGACACACGTATGCTATCATGTGTATCTCAATTTTAATTATTTTTTTTTTACTTTTAGGCCTAAACATGCAGGTTTACAAAAGTTTCGTCAGGTTTCCTGCTTGCTTGCTTCACACAACCCCTGTTAAAAATTACTTTTTCTTTCTTGTTGTCAACTTTAGTTTTGTGATTTTTTTTTCTTTTTTCCAGTTAATATCTACTTTTTGGCTACTTGTCCAATTATTCTGCTATAGTGCATAACTCCTCATTAGAAAAAGTGCTCCTTCAGCTGCTTTTTTCTAGCCTATACCCACCTTGGTCTTCAGATATTTGCTCCGGTAGATGTTCTTGAGGTCTTTGCATATTTCAGGGCAGGCTTTGTCGATGTGCGTTCCAATAGCTAACTGAGGAATTCCTGGAAACATCCAGAGTGACCATCAGCCATTTAGTAATATGAAACTGAAGTCCAATATATTTAGAGCTAATATACATGAAAAGTTCCATCTTACCCAGATCTCTGGCAGTTTCCCTGACCTCCTTCATTTTGTCGATCACTGAGGGATCAATTTCAAGGCAGTTTGCAGAAAGCATAAGGACCAGGACATGCACTTTGTCATCAATTTTAGGGTTTGGGTTGTAATATTGATTGTCCTCCTGGATTTGAGCCACTGGATTGAACTGGATTGAACAGTGCACACAAACATAACACTTATATCATAACTGAATTGGGAGAATCATTACTTATTGATTAACAAGATTAACTGTTTACATTTTACTATGTTGTAATGGTTTTCCCCTACCATTAACAAAACAATGTCTGAGCACATCTGGTGTTTGCTAGGATTTATCATAAAGGAACACTGATTTATAATAAATAATTAACAAATCTACTCTGAAGTAAGAGCAACAACAGAGCTCTAACTGACAAAAAAAAATGCAAATTTTTGCCCAAACCCACAAAATGAATGTGGACAGTAACATTGTGCTTAAGGGTTTGTGAGCAATAGGAACAAGTTGAACAGATTTAAATGCCTACTACTAGGGGTGTGCCAAAAATCAAAAGATCCATAAATCAATCGATCACGATTAAAACTTTGGCTGATCTCAAATGATAAGGCCAGTGCATTTGAATTGATAGGTCTACAGCCAATCCTTTGGCAATGATGCTGAAGAGGTAAAAGCTCTCAGTCAGGGCCACAGTCTTTTTATGTCAGATGTCCTCAAGTTTCACAAGTTTTGACTTAAATCTGCATAATTTGAGTAAAAGTCAAAGCCTCTGCCTCTGTGTGTGGTGCTGTCTGCCCCTCTCCCCCTCCCTCTCTGATCCAGTCGCAGCTCCTCACTTTCTCTCCTCTGATGCTTCTTATCATTAAAATCCAAGTTACAGAAAATAAATGACTATTTTCTCACCGTTTATGAATGAAACTTCAGACCTCATTTAGTGCACAGACAGCATGTGTTTCTGTAGCTAGCTGTAATGTGTGTGACTGCGTTTCTGTTGCTTGTGCTAGAGACAGATGTAGAGTTGGGAAGGTTACTTTTAAAATGTATTCCCCTACAGATTACAGACCCCAAAATGTAGTTTGTAACATAATCCATTACGTTACTTAAGGTGAGTAACGTAATCTGAATACTTTAGATTACTTGATATTGTCATGCTTTTTAAAAACTATATGAATGTAGAAACCACATCCTGAAAATTCATGTTTATTCTCTTCAAATTGTCTGTTGACCCCAAGTCCCCATGAACAGGCAGTTGTTTGCTGTAGAGAAGCAAAAACTAGAATCTTAACATGAGATGGTTTGTCTGCTAAAAGAAAATAAAAAGCTCAGTTTTTATTTAACCAGATTAAAAATATTATTGATAGAGAAATGCTTTATATGAGATCACTGCTGCCTTAAAGTATGTCCACCTACTGTTAGTGTCATATTGCTTAGTCCTGGTTTTAGACTTTGTTTTAGTCCTAGTTTAGTCCTGGTTTAGTCCTGGTTTAGTCCTGGTTTAGTCCTGGTTTAGTCCTGGTTTAGACCTGCTTTTAGACCTGCTTTTAGACCTGTTTTAGCCCAGAATGTGAAAACAGGAAAATACTGCCATGTAATCAATTTATTTCAACAAAGTAACTGTAATCCAAACTCATTGAAACAGTAACTGTAACTGAATACATTTAACTTCTTGGGTTCTTTTTAAAGACAATGCAGTAAAGTGTGTTTACCTTGTTGACATGTTTCGGCTGCTGCTGTTGCATCTTCAGAACTGTCACCGGTGTTGGTGGTGACGTGTCGTATATCAGCTGTTGTTACTTCCTGTAGGCGTGGTCAGCCTGATGGACCTGCAGGTGGCTCAGACTGACCACGCCTCCCGTCGCCCGGTGTCTCTGGAGGAGGGTGTCCCAGGTGTGTGAAAGGAGGAACGCGCCGTCATCAGGGTTAATGCTGTCCGTGCCTTGTTTTCAGATTTCAATGGCCTCCTTGATCCAGCGTTTGAACTTGTTGTTTTCCGATCCGATGACCCGAGCCCCGACCCGATCCATAATGTGATTGTTCCTTTTACAGTGTCTGATATGGCGGATTTTAGGTTTTCCTGTTCTGCTTTGTCTTTTTGTGTTCTGGTGAGTCTCCCTGACGTTTCCTTTTCGCATTCCTTTTGGTGTTCCTTTTTTCGGATGTGAAATGCCCGGCCTGTTTCCCCTATGTATGATTTGTCGCATGATTTGCATTGAATTTCGTAGATGGCGTTGCATTTTTGTTCTTGTGGGATTTTGTCCTTGGGGTGTACGAGTAGTTGGCGGAGTTTTGTGTCTGGTTTTACTCCAGTGCTTATGTTGTTTTTTTCATGGCTCTGGATGGGTTCGGTTATTCCTCTGATGTTCGGTAGTGTGACTATGTTCTTGTGGTCCTGCTGCCCTGTGTTGGATTGTTGTGTTTTTTTCCGGGGTTTGTTGGTTTTATTGATAACTTGTTGTCTGCCTTTGTTTATGGCCCAGCTGGGATATTGACATTGTTTGAGTGGTTGTATGATGTGTCTCTCCTCTTCCTCCCTGTCGGTCTGTGATGAGTGTGGCCCGTTCGAATAATGTTCTTACTACTGAAAGTTTGTGTGCAGTGGGGTGTTCGGATGTCCAGAGTAGATATTGGTCAGTGTGTGTGGGTTTCCGGTATATTGTGATTTTAATGCTGCCGTCTGCGATGTGGTGGATTTTAATGTCCAGAAAAGATATGGCTCCGTCTTTCTCCTCCTCGTGTGTGAATTGAATGTTTCCTGTGTCGTCTTTGTGTGTGAAGATGGTCCGTGAGTTCTTGCGTGTGTCCTTGCTGTATTTTTTCTAGGATGTCATCTACGTAACGTTTCCAAAATGTTAACCGGCATTGTGGTGGTGCGGTGTTGAAAGCTTTCTGTTCCAAGTCCTCCATGAAAAAACTGCTCATTATTGCGGATAGTGGATCTCCCATTGCCTCTTTCTGTCGGTAAATGGTGCTATTGTATTGGAAGTATGTTGATTTGGCCACGAAACGTAATAATTGTGTAATGAACACCGGGCGACGGGAGGCGTGGTCAGTCTGAGCAACCTGCCAGGTCCATCAGGGTGACCACGCCTACAGGAAGTAACAACAGCTGATATGACACGTCAACACCAACACCGGTGACAGTTCTGAAGATGGCTCACAGCTAGCAGCCGAAACATGTCAACAAGGTAAATACGCTTTACTGCATTGTCTAAAAAGAACCCAAGAAGTTAAAGTATATAAGACGACAAAATGAACATCTTTTGCTGTAACTGAATACAGTTACTCATAATTTGTACTCTGATTACGTAACTCTGGTACATGTAATCTGTTACTCCCCAACACTACAGATGAATTTAGGTGTAATATATTGTACATACTCATTCCATTATGTGAGAATCAGTCATATCAACAGGAAATAAAAACTGTTGTGACCCTGACACATTTATGTCTGAAGTCTACATGTCTATGTTTTTAATAAGCTAGAAGAAGAATAAATCAAAATCAAGATTGATCAATACTGAGAAAAAAAAAAAAATCTTGATTCTTTTTTTCAATATCGCTCAGCCCTACCAACCATCTAAATACACACATATTTTTTTAAAAGCCATAATATTGATTTAAGATTACTTCGTAGAAATGGGTTCCATACATCTTTGAAAGCTCTTTACAATAACAATTTATATTCCACAAGAAGAAGGTGGAGGAGTTACCGTGTATCCGTCCTTCACATGTCCCTTCATGACCAGTTTGATGTCTTCAGGACGAATGCCTTCACTGGCTCCAGACTCCATCCCCATTATGTCATTGAAGACAAAAGGGTAGGTCTCATCAGAGTCAAATTCATCTTTGTAAATGCGGTGAGTTTCGTACTGAAGAAGACAAATAGATAAGGTTAAGTTGTGCCATCATTAACTCAAAACAATAGAAAACTAACTCTGGAACCTTGACAGTGAAGCTTTGTGAGGAGGCTGAATCACTGGTGTTGGCTGCAGCCTCATTACATAGAGTTTCACCCAAAGCACTGGTCACTGAGTTGATGAAGCTGGACTTCCCAGCTCCGACCGGACCGTACACCAGGACACGCAGATGTTTCTCTCCGTGCCTTGGTTTGTACTTATTTATCATCTTCAGATGTTCCTCCTTGCCCTCGATTCTGGGAAAATCATTCAAACACAAATTGTTATGGTATTCAGTCTATGCCAGGGGTGTGAAATGCAATGACCCTCATTTACTGACATTGTAGAGAAAAGTTGCATATTTTTATGGGTATATTTTTGCATGCATACAGCAGAGGGCGCATGGTTGGTGATGTAAACACTAGGAAGGCTTGGTTTTTATTATTATATGAAAATATTATTAGTAGGATATTATTGCTAAAAGAATGAAGAACAGTGTGTGTCACAAATTCTGCAATAGCCCATAAGGTAACTGGGTTTATTTTCATGCATGTTTTTGCTTCGTTTATACTGGGATTAACACTTATTAAACAGAGAGCTGCATCTGGACATAATATGAACTCAGCTTTTGTTTTGTTAAAAAAAACAAAAACAAAACACAAACAAACAAAAAATCCAAAACACTTTCCAACATCTAGCACAGCTGTATTTGCCAATAAATAGTGTGGTAATTTACATTTTTGCTGATTTATTCCCTGGATTGTTCATCTGGAGTTTTGGGGTGTTGTATTGAATGAATGGGAGTCTCTGCAGTGTTAGCTTCATGCTGTTGTCCAAATGCATCAGTGTTCGTGTAATCTGTATTTCCTCTGTCATATGTTTAAATCCCAGTTCATTTTAAAGCCAGTGCAGACTGTCCTGGCGTGTTTAATAAGCAGGAATCAGATACACTTGTAAGTAATGCTACAACACCAGTGCTAACCTCCTCTGGCTTCTGCCTCTTACAGTAAAAGTTCATCACACTCTTCTTCTACTCTTCTTGTGCACATATTCCTTTCAGCTGGTGTCAGGTGTAATGTGAGGCTGTCCCTGTGTCCTGTGGAGTTTGTCTTTGTGGTGGGACTCTGGGGCAGAGTGGGGGTTTAGGAGATCACACCAAGCTGCTCAGTTGTGTACTTTAAAATGCAGAAAAAAAAAAAAATATATATATATATATATATATAAAACTAACAGATTAAGATGTGTCTTTTTGTGATGTATGTTATTAATAGTCAACATGTATGTAATATTTAAACTAGGGCCGGGCACGTTAACGTGTTAATTTTGCGTTAACTAATTAATTAATTATCGCAGACAATTATTTTAACACTGTTAACACAGTTTTTATTATTTATTTACTTTTTTATTGTAAACGTCTGTTGCTCACTGGCTTTTATTTTGAAAAAGTCCACTGCGAGTGTTTCTTTAAGTTTGATGTCTTTTCTTTACACTTTTTCCCTTTTTTCTGACCACGTGACATGCAACGTGTCTGATTAATTGCACTCAAACTCATGCGATTAATATTTTTTATTTTTGCCCAGCCCTAATTTAAACATTAATAATGCAGAACTATCTCAAATTTTTATGTTTCATTATCTTATAAATTTGCATGTGTGGTGGCACGAGTGGTTAACAATTTGGATGTTATAAATTTTATGATAAATTGTTGCAACGACGCCAACCCCAAATCTAGTTTGGGGAAAAAGGTCTAAATGTAAGGCACACAGGTAAGCATATCAATGAGAGGAAGAGAGCCAGGTTCCATCATTTACACAATCTATTTTTTTTTTTTCTATTTTAAAAGTTTTAACTTGCTAACAAGTAGCTACATAAGCAAAACAGTAAAACACGACAGTGTGTCCCACTGTTACGGTGGTGTATTGCTCTCACTCCCCAAAAAATATTTCGGCTCAGTATCAGGTAATTACGTGAAAAGTTTCACGTTATAACGTAATATTTTTCACGTTATAACGTGAAATTATCACGTTATTACGTGATATGAAATTCATCACGTCATTACATGATGTGGTATTTTCACGTTATAACGTGAAATTATCACGTTAATACGTGATATGAAATTATCGCGTTATTTCGTGATATAAGGACCCTGATAGCATCAGGATCCGCAGCAGATCCGCTTTCGGTCCCCCAAATTCGCCCCACAGTCAGTCCGCTTTGAGGATCGGCTGTTCTATCAATGAGGATCCGCGGCTAAACCGGTTCAGATTTGCTTTGCGGACGCGTCATTGACTCATCAGCTGTTAGCGGGACCTGAGTGGAAAGGAGGAGCACTCACCTGTTGTCCGCGGATTTAACTGTAAGCAATAGTTTAAAAGTTAATTGTATTAGTCATCATTAATGTACATAACGTTAACGTTACATTGTGATGTCTGTACGTCTGTGATGTGATTGTGTGTTTTATCAGTTTTGATGAGTGCAGTAGCAGTAAAGTTAGCGACAGTAGCAGCTAACGTGATGAAGCGAGGTTGGGTGTCGAGATAACTCCATCTCTTGTGGTAAATCCCAATCTAAATACTATTTTTATATAACGCTACTTATATTCATATATGTTTTTACGATCACGGAGTTATAACTCTGCTCTGTGATCATTAGTTGTTTGTAACGGGCTCGGTTCTGGCTGGGCGCCGCTCTTGAAGCTCTCCCCTCGGCTGTGGAGCAACTGTGGCACCGGTGTCTGAACTGGTTGTGTTTTTAACCACAGATATTTATTATTTGTGCAGTGTGTTGACTCTTAAGACTAAAGTGCAATCATGTTGGTGCGTTAACACAATAATGTAAGGCATAACTTTTAACAACAGATAACATTAGCTAACCAACCAAAACTTATATTCTTTGCCCCAGATGACAGCTCTTCTGCTGAGTGTCCCCAAAAGGAGCCCCTGCAGACTGATCAGAAGTAAGTACTTTTCATGGTTTCTGTGACAGTGAGGATTTAGTTTAGAGCCAGATCTGATTTTGTCTCCAACTTCCTGTTATGGGACTTGAGACGGTGCTTCAGGCTTTCAGTGTAAGATCTAACATCTTGTCATGGACACTAATGTGTCACATCTTAATTGCACTGATACTGACCGTGAGCACCATCATAAATTGCTTATTGTGTTTTAAATGTTGTGGTAAAAGTATAGATGGTTTTCGATCGAGAAAAATGCCCGGATGTAAACACTGAAGTCGGCCATGTTTGTGGGCAGCCGTGAATTGCGGTAATGAGCTATTTGCACTTGACTGGGACATATTTGTATTTATTTATTGTTTTTATATAAAAATGGTGAACAGTTGTATTTCGCTGTCACAATAGATTTAGTAAAGATGGCAAGTCGTATTACTCAATTCCAGCTGTTATAAAAAATCAAGGTGACAAAACTAAAGAACTAAGTGAACGGAGACGTGCACAGTGGATTTCACGTTTAAACAGGGCAGATTTCAAGCCTTCAAAATACACAAGAATCTGGTCGGATCACTTCAGAAGTGGTAAGTTAAATATTATTTTAAGAATTTGTGGCTCTTAAGTAGAAACAATAGAGCAATTGCTAATTAGCATAGCATAATAGTGCTAGCGACTGCATTTCAAGCAGTATACCAAAGTAACTTAATTGAAATTGTGAACTGGAAACACTTTAACAGTAATTATTTTTATTGCTAAGCATAACTGCATGCAAATAACATGTATTTTGTTAAACAATTACAGGAAAGCCTGCAAGTCTTTATGATGAAACACATCCTGATTGGTCTCCATCGGTCTTCATGGGATACAGGACAGCAACAACCACAGATGAGCGCTACAAACGTCTCAAAGCCCAGAAAGTTAAAGTTGTCACCGCAGAATGTGCTCAGACACCGCTCAGTTTAGCAGAAATTGATGAGACAGAGACTGCACCACATCAGTCTGAAATGGAGCCAACTGAAAGCGAGCCGTTACAGCCAGTCTGCAAATTTTATCTCCTGGGCAGTTTAGAAGGCAATGAGATGTGTCCAGAAGATAAGGCTGCGTCTGTCAAACGTAATGCAATAGCAAATCAAGAAATTAACCGACTACTGTTTGAGAATCTGGAACTTAAATTGCAAATTTCCAAAATGGAAATTAATGAGGCCACATTCAAAGATAATGATGATAAGGTGAAATTTTACACGGGCCTCCCAAATTATATGATGCTCATGTCATTGTTCTCATGTGTGAAAGACCACATCAAAGATCCTGTCAGGTCAAAGCTGAACCCATTCCAAAAGTTTATTTTGGTGCTCATGAAACTGAGACTGAATCTTCATGTTCAGGACATTGGTTATCGGTTCAACATTTCACCATCAACAGCCTCCAAAACTTTCACAGTAGTAGTAGATAAGATGTACTGGCGGATGAAGAGGATCATTCAATGGCCAAAGAGAGACCAGCTTCGCCTGACAATGCCAATGGAATTTGCATTTGGTCTAAAATGTGCTGTTTTCATTGACTGCTTTGAAATTTTCATTGAACGCCCCTCCTGCCTGGAGGAAAGAGCTGGAACATGGTACTCCTATAAACATCACAACACAGTCAAGATTCTCATTGGCATTACACCTCAGGGTTCAATCTCGTTCTTGTCAGAATGCTGGGGTGGTCGTGCTAGCGACAAACACATTACAGAAAACTGTGGACTTCTGGACAAGTTGATTCCGGGTGGTATGATTCTGGCCGATAGAGGTTTTGACATTCAGGATGTGGTCGGTGCTTGTGGTGCGGAGGCCAAAATTCCAGCATTTACAAAAGGCAAGTCACAACTATCACCGCTACAACTTGAGACCACCAGGAAGATCGCGCACCTGCGAATTCATATGGAACGTGTGATAGGACTGTTGAGGAACAAGTACACTATTTTGCAAGCCACTCTGCCGATAGACTATTTGACATGTGATGAAGGTGAAGTGCCAACTGTTGAGAAAATACTGATTGTTTGTGCTGCTCTGATCAACTTAAATAATTCTGTAATTCCTTTCAACTAGATTGTTTTGAAGTGGGCTAGGTACTCAGAAAGGTCGTTCTATGTGTCATTAAACGTTATAGTAAGGTTCCAACTATGAAAATGTATTTAGTTACAGAATACTGAATACTTGCATTAAAATGTATTTTGTATTGTATTCCTGTACTTGGCCAAATCAGAGTACTGTATTCCGAATAGTTTCATGTTAAATTACATTATACTTAGACTTTAAAAAAAAAATGACATGAGATTAAATGACCTTTTCATTTTTGGTTCACAGTTTACTATGCAGTTATTTATTATGTTTTTGTATTATGTTTTTTTACAGAGAGAATGTACAGAGAGAATGATCAAACAGTATTGTGAAAATCCAATGAAAAGCCTTGTGAAAA